ATCTAGGCCATGAACTGCCAGCTTCTCCAGGAGAATGCTATGGGAGACTGTGTCAAAGGCTTTGCTGAAGTCCAGGTATACAACATCCACAGCCTTTCCCTCATCTACCAGGCGGGTCACCTGGTCGTAGAAGGAAATGAGGTTGGTTAGGCAAGACCTGCCTTTCATGGAACCCATGCTGACTGGGCCTGATCCCCTGATTGTCCTCCATTTGCCTGGTGAGCACACTCAAGATGAGCCTCTCCATAATCTTCCCCGGTACTGAGGTCAGGAATCTGTATGTGCTGTAACACTTCTGCTTGATTGATGAAAATGTGGTGGTTGTTTTCCCAGCAGAGCTCTTTAGGGTTTTTTGTGGGGCTTTTCTTCCCCCGACTCCTCCCTCAATCTTTTTGTTTCTTTATATATAGGTGGTAATTACTTAATAGAATTATTTTACTTATTCAAAATATTAGATCCTCCAGTAAACCCTGGCACTGTTTTAATGAGAGAACTAAAATTAAACATATTTAGGATTATTGTTTAGAATTAACTGAGTTTTATTCTGTTTGGTTGTTTTCATTTTTTTTTAAATATAGGTGCATATGCAGCATAAGGTGTTGGATAAAATAATATACTTGCCTGTAAGCCAGATTTCCAGATTTTAGCTGAATAATTGCAATGGTTTAATTGTCTAGTCTGACGGTATTTTATCTTACCTGCCTTCTAACCTGACAGTACTAACAAAAATAGTAATTAAGCTTGGTATTTAAATGCAGATTTGGATTGGTGTGACTCAAAAAACTCAAATGTTTAAATTTGAGCTTTATGAAATGTGTATTTATGTGCTACTACATATGTATTGCATACATTATAGTTGTTATTTTGGTTGATTACCCCTGTGGTTCTCTAAGTATTTTCCACTAATTTCTACCTTGTAGATGACTGCGGAGATCATGTTGTCATAATAAATACAAGACATATTGCCTTCTCCGGTAACAAATGGGAACAGAAAGTATATTCTTCACACACTGGGTAAGCTTTCTATTAAATATTCAAATGAGCTGGTGGTAAATTTAATGCCATATTTTCTTAATAGTTAAAGTATTTTTTAGCGTATGGGTTCAAAAGGGAATTCCTACTTAGATGTTTTGGGTTTTGTTTGTGTAATGATGTTTAAAATGACGCAAACATTTTTTTTTTTTCTTTCCTTTTTTCCCCCCATGTATGTTGTTAGGGAAATAATCTAACTCAAAAGTAGTCAGAGCAATTGAGTAAGTTAACAGGTTTGGTGAGCCAGGTTGTTCTATGTGAACTCATGAACCCAATGATCAGGACTATTCTATTTACTAAGCAGTGGAAGGTATTCCTATTGGCACTGCCCATTTGAGATATATGCAGTTGCCAACTTCAGTTACTTTATCCTAACAGTAAATATCAAGATTGATACATTATTGAATCAGAGGACAATGAAAAAAAAAGAAACTGGAAGAACTAGTAAGAAATATGAAATGCTCTTAAGGTGTATTGATGTATACAATAGTGTACAATATATTATTCTGGCAGACATAACTTGTTTACAGATCGAAGTGCAATGATCAGTTACAGACAGTGTGGCAATAATCAGTTTAGTCAAATAAGAACAGTTGCTCCGATTTTATATGGTGACAAGACTAGATAATAATCTCTAAGTGTCAAAATGTATCCAGTTGGGAGATGAATAAATCACATTGAGAAAGCTAATCTCGTTAGGCCTAACGTTTCAATCCTGGAATTCTTGTGCTGAATTGCTGAGAAGTTCCTGTTCGGAGCTGATGGAAATTAATGTGCTTTTTTTTTTTCTCCTCCACCCGTATGACTTCTTAAAAATTTTCACTAAAAACTTCTGTGTAAGTTAAAGCACTTGCATAAGTACCTAAGTTGGTTTTGAGTAAGTGGAAAGAATTGTACAATTGAAACAAATACTTAAATCTGTACAGCTCCCTAACTAGACATGTTTTAATGGTGTTTGGTTTATTTGCATTTCACTTGGGTTGATACCTAATAATGTATTAAAGTATATACATAAATGTGAATTACTGCCACATAGACTTTAAAAAGATGGATACATTGCAATAAAAGTCAAATTGTATTACTGTAGATAGGCCAAATCATGCTAAGGTTTATTTAAAATATTAAGAAAATAACAAACACTGTTCAAAATGGTTGTGTCATGTCAGCCACAGACTGGTTGTGATTCTTGATCATCTTGAAATATTTTCGAGTTTTGCATATCTTACTCCCCTTGTATTCTGTAGCTGTGATGGTGTATTTAATAAGCGGTTTTTAAAACACATCCATCTGCTTGTGAAGCACAAACTTTATAAGTGCTCAAGTGAATAAATAAGAAAATACAAATGATGTTAAACTTAGATACTTGACAGGATAGAACCTTTCTAATAAAACACAGTTGTTGGCCTTGTGAAAACAACTTCCTTTTTTGAAGGCTTATAATACCATTACACCATTGTTCAAGATGTAGTGATATTTGTGTTAACATGGTGCTTGAGCATATAGTGTTAAGCTTGTATGCTTGTTCTATTTTTCTAGCTATCCTGGTGGTTTCAGACAGGTGACAGCAACTCAGCTCCATTTGAAGGATCCAACTGCTGTAAGTGTTTCCCCTTCTTCCCTTTCATTTTTAAAGCTGGTTTGTTTTCATTTAAATAGTTTCACTAAACAAAAGGGATCAGTTACCTGCATGTCTAAAGCTAAATTACAAACATTCTGCTAAGGGCTCTTAGAAGCTTGGCTTGTGACCTTTTTAGCTTTAGATGATAGGTTGTGTGTTTTCCTGATTCTTCCATGCTGTCCAAATGAGGAAATCAGGTTCAGTTGCTTCATTCGTTTTTGACTGATTCACTTGCTTTTAGTTTCAGGGGTCTGACCTTTCTCGTAAGCAAACTGCCTCAAGTTAGACCTAGCTAAGCTGTACTTCAGCTTAACGACCGTACTAAATTTTTAAGAGCCAGCAAGAATATTGCTAATCTTAAAAATGTTAGAAAGTACACCTGCCTTTTTCTCCCTGTAAAATTCAACTGTAGGTTTTGTTAGTTTGGGGGTTTTTTAAGTCTTTTCTTCAATGCTGTGTGTTCATAGTCTGTGAAAGAATTGGAAATGGTGATTACATTGAACTTAAGACTCTTCACTAAATGTGTGTATTACGCTATTATAAATTCTGAATGCCAGTGCTGATGTGTTTGTTACTGATTAAAAAAATAGGGTGCTAGATAGGAACATTTTGGGATATTGATGTACACAGTTATGAAACTACTTTTACTAGGGTTTTGAATGGTCAGCATTGGGGGACTGAATTCTCTTAAATACTTGTGTTTCAGAACATGGTACAATGCCCACAGAGATTAACAGATCTCTGTGTTTATTTTTGACTTTGAAATGCTTTGGCTTGGGTCACCTTATACATAAAATATAAAAATGCTTCTTTCTTTTCTAGAGAAATATTATCTGCTGTAAAATTCTTGTGTTTTGTCAAAGATTTTTTTTTTTATGTATGATTTAGAATTCCTGGTTTGTCCCAAGACTCTCTTATACAAGATGTTGTGCAAGTACTCAATTAAAAAAGCATTCTACCGTATGAATTTGCCTCCTTTTTGTTTTTACTTTTGCAATTTATTCCATTGCTTAAAGTGAAATGAAATCCCACAGTTCAATATTATCTTCTGTCTAGAATTTTTCAAAACACTTAAATGCTTTTGGGAACAGGCTCTAAGGTAATTGTGGTTCCTTTGGTAGTTGTTGGTAGTTCCATGTCTAAAATGGATTCTTAACCTTTTTCGTTTGAGCCTCAGGCAAACGCTGTGCACTGGGAGGCAGTACAACACAACTTGCTTGTTAGGGCCTGAGAACTGGATGTTCTATAAATTACCTTCTGGCATTCATTCTGAAATTCGTCTATGAGTCTGGCAAGAAAAGAGGTATTTCTGTGCAAACAGAGGAGGATTAAATGCATTGCCAATAACTAAAGCATGTTGGACAGAGGGGCTCAGCAAATGGTGATGTGGCTCAAGGCTTGGTCTAATTTAGCGAGAGAAACTTTTTTAAACAGAATTGTGGAGAGTCCTCAGCAATTAACTCTTTCAATCTATTGAAGGTGAAGCGTTTGGATGTCTCTGTCATAAAGATCTCTCATGTATTTTTGTCATAATTAATAGTAGTGGATAGTAATTTGGCATGATACATTCTGTATGTGTAGCTGTTACAGGTTTTGACTTGCAAGTCATTTTTATGGCTAGAAACACTTATTTACTAGTCGAGTTGTTTTCATATGAAATACACTGGGATATGACATAGGTGGAAATTAGGATGGTATTTTATTAACATGTTTTATTTTTAGAATTAGCTATTAAAACCTGAAAAAGGATTACTGTAAAGAGAACAATGCCTAGCCTAAGTAGCATTCGGATCTTCAAGATATGATCTAAATGACATGTAGTTGCTGTGGAGACTTTTTTAAATCACTTTTTCACTTCTTTGAATTAAAGAGAGACCCTTTTCTCTTTTAATCAAGTCAAATTCAATTCCTGTGAAGCCAGTGGAATTAGGTAGGTTGTAGGAAGCAGACTGTATTTTTCTGTGGAATCAAGTCTTCAGTCTGTAAAGCATTTTCATCTTGGAGGCTACTGCTTTTTCTCTGCCCTTGGTCCTGTTGTCTCCTGCTAGCTCATCCTGGTAGTGCATTGTTAGATGATTCAACGTTATTTTTGGAAATAGTGCTGTTACAGAAATTAAGGCATTTGAATTGATGGTTCCGAGGAAAAGGATGTTGACATAACACCTTGTAAACTTGCATGGTGTTACATAGAGATTTTGCAATGGATATGACTTATTTTCGGTTTATGTAAGAAATAGATTAAAGCTTGTAAGATTCCATGAGTGTGTGTACATAGTAGGACTGCAATACTGCTTAGCACTGGCTTTACTTACATGTGTCTAAATTCAAACATACAAGTCCCCAGGATAAATATTTTTCCATTACAGTTTTGTTTAAACATAGGTTTTAATATACAGAGAGACTGGTTTTAGGAAAAACTGCTACACAGCTAATAGCTAATTTAAAAGGTTATAAAGAGTTATTTGATATTTTCTGTGGGGGGCTGAAAGTCGTAAGTACGTTGTCAGAACTTAGGCATATTTACTTCAGTATCATTCCTAGTTCCTTCATAAGGTACCAAGATAGGGATGGATGACGATCTGACATTCTCACTTAATGGAGGTTGACTTTATTGTATGTATCTTACTAACTTTGGACCTTTATATTCCTTGTAGGTAATAGGACAAATCCTTCTGAAGCACTAACTTTGAATGGGCACGTGCATTTTTTCTTAGTGATTCAGGTTGGAGAGAACCTCAGGCGATCTCTAGTCCAACCTCCTACTCAAAGCAGTGTCAGCTATTAGGTCAGATAAGGCTGTTGCGGGCTTATCCAGGCTGGTCTTGAAAGCCTTCCATGGCAACCATTTCCAATCCTTGACTCTTCTTCGCAGTTGAAAATAATAAAAAACCCCAACATGTGCCTATTATAAGTGTTTAATCTCAGATGTATCATTTTGTGCCTGATATTGACAAAATATTGCTGTTTTCTTTCCACTTCTGAGTATCCTTTATGTTAAAATGGGACAAAAAGAGGTCTGCATAGTTGTTGTTTTATATAGAACTTACAGTTCTGTGTTCATTGTGCCAAGTTTTTCAGCACTGCGGAAAACTTTGGGTTTATGGAAGGGTAGACATTACAGTGTCTTGCCAGAAAGATACAGTCTATAGTAAATAGCCTAACACATTCTTACCTTTACCACCTTTGAGTTCCTTTGGGAGGCACAGGGAGGGGAGTGTGTGAATCTGTTTAAAATTTCTAGTACTTTAAGTTGCTTGCTCTTCTGGAGAATAGCAGAGAATAGCTCTCCTTTATTGGATTTGGTCAGGCTACTTTAGGAAGTGCTTATTGAAGAAACAAAATAGCTTCTTCACATTTCAGCCTTTTCTTTCTCTGGCTTATATTTAGTGTAAATTGTTGGACCACCCATAGACGAGAGTATTAAATATGTTCTTTAGGTGCAGCATAACAGCTTGTTGCTGTAGCTTGAAACAGCCTCTCTGTTTTTCGGGTTAATATAATGCTAATATTTTGTATGGTATTACTACTCCGTTAGGATATGTATTAGCAGACAACACTAATTTCCATTGTAGGTTGCTAAGAAAAATCTGTTTGAAATGTTTGGTGTGTTTGCCAAGAGGGTCTTTTGAAAATAAAGGAAACCGGTAAACCTTTTTATTTGAGATGCAGGTGTCTGGAATGCATAGAAGTTTGGGGGTTTCTTGTTTGTTTTTAATAAAATTTGCTGTTTTGTTTAGTTTGAAAAATGCTGATAGGCATGAGACCAACACTTTCAAAATTAGGCTTCAAAGTACTTGATAGGGGAAGATTAAAAGATGTACTTTTAAATCTTACAGATTTGAGAGGAAGCAAAGATTAGTTAGAAAAAACTTTCTGGAAAAATCTTCCAGCTTTTAATTAAAATGCCTGCAAAAATATGTTGACAGATCAAATCTGTAGAACCAGGTAGTAATCCTGTCAGGACAAAGGTTTTAATCAATTTTATTCTATTTCTAATTTTATAAGTAAGCAAAACTTGGTTTGCTACTTTTTTTTCTTTTTTTTTTTTTTTTTGCTACATCAGAAACTCCCCCCCCAAAAAAAAGAAAAAGGAGGAATCATGTTTGGCTAATATCAAATGCTCAGTGAGAGGATTGACCTTTGCAGTATTCAGAGGCTGTATTGCCTCTGAAAAAGAAATAATGGGCAATAATTGTTCAGAATGAATGTTACCTGCTAGGGAAGATTATTAAACGAGGCAGGTGGCTCTATGGAAATCTGCTGTGAGGAAGCCTCCGGGGGTGTCAGAGTCCTGGTTTGTTCAGCTGCTGGCGCTGATACAAAGGGGCTTAAAATGTTCTAATTCTCCTTTTGAATGCTCTTTAGCAACCGCTTGCACGTATAGACTTGCCATTTTATCTGCGTAATAACAATCTTTTGAAGGAAAGCTCGGACAGAAAACATAGTTAAGTCTTGCTGTTGGTATTTGAAGGCCTATTTTCTTTGCATCAGAAAGGGACAGTTGATATAATATGTGCATACTAAAAGTGAGTTAGTGAAACACCAGATATAATAGTGTTTTATTACTATGGAGTGATGGTTTTTAATTAAGTAGAGCAAAACTTCAAAGTCTGGATTAGTAGGAACACAAAAATTAGTATGGCATGGAGAGGAGAATATCATTATGGAACCTATTGTCTTAAAACCTCTAGGTGCTCTAAATAAGTCTTAGAGCTGGCTTGGTCTTGTGCTTCGTAGTAGACAAAAATAAGTACTTAGTTTAAAAAAAAACTTAACCCATTTCTTACTTGAATTTGCAAGGCAAATTAATACAGTAATGTGAAGAACACATTAAATTCTAAGTTTTTAAGTGCTGAACAGTAGTAGAAAGCAAAATGGCATGCAGTGGAAGTTTAATTTGTCTGTGACCAAAGGATTCTTATGTAAGTATTAAATACAGTCACTCTTGCTCTACTACTCATACGACTGTCAGGGGTAGA